GATTCTTACTTGGAACCCTCTTGAGGTGAGTTAATGCGACTTTGACAAATTTTTAACCACTACTGGAAGCATTTCAATGCAACAAAATTTTATACACAATTGCTCTTAATGGTTGGCAATTTTCAAACCATTTTTATTTGTCTACAATAGCATTCATTTCAATAATTTTTACATTAGTTAATTTACAGTTCTTTATGGTCTTAGGCTGATAAAGTATACGTGCACGGTTACGTGTTGGTGTGTTGTTCCTTGTCTCATCACTATTCTCCAATCTTCATTGTACTTCAACTTGGCTCTGGAGGGAAGTTTTCTATAATCTGCTCCTTCACTTACAGAGGATAACAAAATTACGGAATATAGCAGGACGGTTAGTAACAAACACCATAATTGTCCATCACTAGATTTGTTAAATTTGCGAAATCGGACTTTCCAAGGTGGCACAAAGTTGAAGAGATTCACCGTTTGATTTCTGTATAGTGAGGGTGGAATTGTTTCAAGTTGGTGTTTCAGTTCTCATTCAAAGCCTCGGGGCAGATGCTAACCGAGTGATGTTTTGCATTGTAATACTTAGCTGAAAGTTAGCGCGTCTGTGCCACAAGAAAATTTTGATCTCTCATTACTGCTTTTGCCAACGTCAAAATGTCATAGGTTTATTTTACAGGCCAACTGTCCTTCCTTCGATGAGTATGCCTGGTTTGGGTGCCTCCTGGACTACTTTGCAGACCTCCAGCAAGTGGAAGACCTTGAAGGAGACGCCTCGGAGGAGGGAGATGCACAACGGAAGGTACTCCTCACTCTCGCCACCTCCCCTGAGCACGAACTCGCTGTTATCCCTCTGGTCATTGAGAAGGTCCTTCTGCCTCGACTTACAGGTCTGTTCAGTCTGCTTTCACTGACGTATAATTGGGAGATTTAGCCATTAAGGATTTGCACACTCGAGTATCTATCCATTTCATAACATACTGAGATTTCAGGACGTTCTCTCCCAGTAACCATAAAATATTTTCTCAATTTCTCCAAACTCACCTCTCGCGCCTTGTCTGCATGGCCATCTTGCATTGGGTGCTCGCATCTTTTTGTATTGCGGTACTATGTGACTTTTGTCTTCACGCCTCAACAATTTTAGCACCGATTTAATCCTCTTCTGTAAAGTCATCGGGATCCTTTGCAGTTAAAGAGAATGCTCGTACTTTTGCATACCTAACCACCTTGGAGGCTCGAAAACTTTTGCATTTGATCTCAATAAATACGATCTACTAAACTTCGGTCCCGTGCATTTACTTCAAATGAATTGTTATAGTCATGGTCATGCTCGTGTTCGTTGC